AAAAAGAATCAAAAGAAATAGAAAGAAAAAAAATAGAAGGGAGGCGAAAGGAAAAAGCTCGAGAAGCTTTTTTATATCCCCACCGTCACCCCCGAACCCCGTCCCCCTCCTCCGCTACCACCACCACCCTTTAACGTTTCCCTCACTTCCCCAGTTCTTTTTTCTACTCTGGTTAATAGCACTGGAAAAAAGCTGCATTGGTACGAAAAAAGCTTTTTCGGTGACGTACACGTATACTCTCACACGTATACGAAAATATATAGATGTATATTCTTTTTTCGTTTTTCATTATTATTATTATTATTATTATTATTATTATATCTTTCTATTATTTCCCTCACTCTTCTCTTTTGATTTTAATTCTAAAGCATATACTTAATAATTCCCGCGCTTGTTACCCAACACCTAAACATACAAACGACTATGTTTTGAAGTTAACCATGAGTTTCGCGCATGAATAAATATATATAATTTTATCATTAAAAATATAATTCAACTAAATGATAAGAACAATTTATAAAACGAATATTTTCCGACCTGTATTCTTGTGTTTCTTAATTCAATAATAATAATAATAATAATAATAACATTAATAAAATAAAACTGCAAGTCTTGATATTCCATAACGAATAAAAAATTATATTTCTGCTTCCCCTCTTGAAGAATAATTAAATAAATAAAAATAAATAATAAAAGAAAATATTATATCGATATTTCGATAATCGTTATCGTAAGTTTGTGGTAAAAATTCGTAGATCCGAGTTTACGATACTACCTTTCCTTTATTCCCACCCCCCTCAACCATTTTGTATCTCTTTCCTTCTCTCTCACTTTATCTTTTTATTCTATTTCTTTTTAAATGCCAACAAACTCCGCGGACTTCCAATCTGTTTTAGTAATAACCATAGGAAACGATCGGACGTGACGTCACTCGGTTCGTCCAGGCCTCCGGCTGGTTCTCGCAGTAATATTGTCGTCTTTCGATTACGTTCAAAGTAACCATTCTATCTACATTCTAGACGGACAAAAGATTTCCCACTTTGATACATCGCCGGAGCCATTATAAGCTAATGTCCAACTTTGTTTGTCCCCCCACTTCACTTCCCACCCTTCCCTTCCATTCCCTTCCGTAGCATTCTCTTGCTCCCATCCCTTTATCACCGATCGTGGAAATTGATGCTCACCATATTGGACTTCTCCTTCTCCTGTTTCGTCCTTCCGATTTCAAACAACGATTTCCTGGTGCTTTCTAACTCTTGAAAAAATAAATACCATGATTTTAACTCGTTACGGGTTATTCTTTTATGGAATACGATCATTGTTATCTCGAATAGTGTATTGGGAATAAATATAATTATATTATTGGAATAGGGGATGAGGAAACAGGATTTTTATTTCGGTATATATTATTTTTTTCATTATTATTTGATTTCATATTATTTTGTTCCCTTTTTTTTCTTTTTATGAAGGGGAAAATAGAGATATCCTATTAAATTCTGTCGAGACAGCAGTAACACAGAAGCAGTATCAGCTGTAGTAGCAAAAGCAGCAGCACCCAATGGCGCCGGTTGCATAGAATTTCTGCTTAGATCGTGGAACCCGGTGAGTGAAAACACGCGTCAACAAACCCTAAACGAACTTCAGGATTTGATCGCTCGAATGCAAACTTGGAACCGAACTTGGAGGTAGTATGCACGCACGCTGGTAGAAGTTAACGACTCCGATAAGTTTGGCTTTTGATATAGAGAGTTCCGTGTAATCGCTATAGTTAGTACGATTAATGTGATTAGGTTGTTTAGATACTACCGCGATAACGATCGAAAGAGATTGAGAGAACAAGATGTGGTGTATTGGGTGGTATTTGCAGTAGAGAAGACGTACGGTTCAATCAGACACGAAAGCGTTCGGAAGTAGTCTATGGTCGTGTTTGATTATATTTAGTATTGGTCAATCATTGGTCAGACAAAATTCTAAGTAGTTTAACTCGACTATTGGTCATACGTTTA